TGTATGTGAGCACATCCTGCAATTTCAGAGAGTTTAGATTCTGCATCTGAGGTTAAATAGAAGGCTTAAAAATTTGACTAGGAATGATGCTATACCACTGCTCCAGATACTAGAATGTAGAAGTCTGTGGGTATCTCATTTGGTAAAATAATTTCAACCTTCGGAGGAAAATATTCAGCTTTCATCTCTGTTACCTGTAAGAAGAATTTATTATGAAACACTGCTTATGATAGATATCTATGGCGATTAAAGTTTTGTTTTAACATAGTATTTCTATAGTAAGGTGGGCAGTTTTTGATTACAAATTACTTTTTGGGTGACTTAATGACTAAAAATCCACTGTCATATATTGGAACCTAATTTGGTTAGGGTGAAGTATATATTTTTTTTTTTGCTTCTTAGGTGGATGAGGCATCACCTCAATGGTAGCCCACACCACAGACCAAATGGAAGGCTTCAGATTTGAATCCTGCATAAAACTACATGCATACATACATACATACATACATATATATATATAAAGAAGGAAATATTATTACCAGCTGAGAAACAAGATCTTCAGAGACTCCTTTGAATAGGTAGGTTTTTTCAACAGTATTGCGGAAGAGGTGCTGGGAAATGCTTGATCTTATTGCCTTGGGCAGGTCCTGAAGCACTTCTTCTTGCTGTAACTCTGCTGTCTTGAACTTGAGTTGCATGTGTGACAGCATTTGTTCTCTCATCCCATCGGGAAGTCTATTTTTGCTTGCGTAACGCAATAACTCATTGATGGCATCTCTCTGTCAAGACATGATCCTAGTTATGGTCTATTTGATATGTTTGGATTAAAATGCAAATGTGAAGTAGCACTCCAACATCATGCAAGGTCTAAAATACATACGTGAAATTTGACTAGCATTAAGCTACCTGAATCTCTATACTGAAGAAGGTAGAATCATATCAATCTAAAAAACATTAGGATTACATAGAGACTGTCTCTAGGACCAACAAAGCAAGAAGTTATCAATCTATTTCTTGGTTCATCAAGTACTTTATGCTCTGCTAATCTTGTATGCTATTGTTGGCTATGAGATGGAATATGTTCTTTGAAAATGAATGGAGAGAAGAAGAGAGAATCACCATGGCAAAGGTCCTGACTGCAGCATGGACAATGAGATTTGTCATGTTACCAATTATGTAGGAAGTGAGGCCAATATTGAAGAGCATATAAATCATGTTAAAAACCTTCTCTCCCGTATTCACTGCATGCAAGTCTCCATAGCCAACTGTGGTGAGAGTGACAATTGACCAGTAAATGGAATAGGTGTAGCCTACCCAGATACTTTTGTGCTTAAAATCTTCAACCTCGCTTCCAATCCATGTCTTAGCTGGTGTTCTGTGGTGTGCAGCCAGCCAGTAATAGAAGCAACCAGCTGAGTGCACTGCAAATACCGTAACCTGCCATTGAGCAGAAATCAAATTTACTTGTAAATGTTTGGTTGGGGATGGAGAGTAGGAAAGTAGGAATAGAATATGATGCTTACACAGACTAGTTTAAGGAGTCTTGTCCAAAAGTAGCTAAACCGTGTGTCCTTTTCTAACCTATCAAAAATGACTTCAAATTAGATAAGATAGTATTTGTGTTCAATCCCCCTTTGTCTATCTCTTGAAGTTTGAAGGAATGTAGCATATCCAGGAGAGCGAGAGGGTAGAATGAGGCTTGCTTAAAAGAATACTGTGTGGTTGTTAAATTAGACATTGGTTTACCTTTTGAAGAGTTCACTAACACGCCAGAGACGCCATAGACGAAGCAAGTTGAGGAAACTGAAGACCTCACCAGCATGCCATTTGCCAGTGAAGATTCTGTATATGAACTGGAATGGCAGAGTAGATGCTACATCCATAAAGAACCAGAACCTTGTCACATACCTGTAAGAACAAAATTTTGTTCAGATCTCAGAACGCATGTTTTTGCAATTATTAAACATTCACACTCATAAATCTTTAGGTTGGGATAAAATTAATACTTTAGAACTTTAGAAATCATTTCATGCACGTGAGATTACTTGGTATAAATCTCCACATTTTGTCTTATGACAGTTCAAGCCAAATCTATGCCTTCATTTCTTTGGTGGGCTTATTCGGCAGTTTTCAGCCTTCTAAGTTTGGGTTTTAAACTCTCTCGAGGCACATTTGATTTATGGACCA